TTTGGAAAACTGGAGTGAAGAGTGAAGTAACCGATTCTGTCGCAGCACTGTCTTGTGAACACCATGCCGGACGCCTTGCTGTAGAGATGTTGCGACAAGACAACAGTGTCCCTATGGAAAATGTTAAAGAGTCTGCTGAGTCAAGAAATGCTCCTTTGGTGGACACTCATGAAACAAACGAAGATCTCGCCTCAGTACCTTCACATGTTCCAGTTGCTGATACGCAAAGTCTTGTTGAGCTTTCTAGCGTCGTGACAAATCCAGGTAGTGACGAGACTTCGAAAGATGCAGATCCTGCTCAAACACCCAGCGGTGAAGAAAGCAGTAACAAAAATAGCACTAACGCATCTGTTTGGGTTGAACCAAACCTAGTACAAAGACAAAAAAGGGACTTAGTTCCTCTCGTCGAACCCCTTAAACCAGAGGAAATAGTGGCGTTAATCGAAAGGTTACTAAAAGATGTTAAGTATGAAGAGGACGAGGAGGAAATATATTCGGTGTTATGGGATTTTGGAGGACAGTCAGTCTATTATGCAACGCACCCAATCTTCCTCACTGCCAGAGCGATGTATCTTCTAGTTTATGACCTCAGCCGTGATCCACACCAAGTAGCCAAACCAGTTGTGAGGCAAGGAACGTTCAGGAAATTCGAAGACAGCTTTGGAGCAAAAACCAATTTGGATTATTTAGATTTTTGGATGGCTTCCGTGGCGTCTTTTGGCGGCACAACTGAGAGTTGTGAAGTCATCTCTCATTGTGAGGTATTGCCAGAGAAACTGCCCCCTGTGTTCTTGGTGTGCACCCATGCTGACCAGCCCCACGGTGGCAGAATTCCTAGCGCATTAGCCCAAGAGATTTTTAGTTCTTTACAGGCTAAGCCATATAGAACCCACCTCTTTGATGGCGTGTTTGCTGTGGATAACACTAAATCAGGTCTTGAAATTGAGTGCCCAGAGGTCACACGTTTGAGAAAGGAAGTACTTGCTGTTGCTAAGAAACTGCCACAAGTGAAAGAAGCCATTCCAATCAAGTGGTTGAACTTTGAAAGGGCGTTGAAAGTCGCCAGGGAACAAGGTCAGAAGTGGATCACACTGGAAGGGGCAAGGCAAATCGCTACTCACGTATGCAAAGTTGTCGATAATAAACAGTTCCAGGCATTATTGAACTTTTTCCACGACCAGAGGATTTTGATCCACTTTGATGACACACCAGAGTTGGATAAAATGGTGATTTTGGATCCCCAGTGGTTAACTGATGTGTTTAAGAAGGTCATAACCATTAGGCCTTATAGCAATCAGGAGGAGGAATTCAAGGAGCTATGGTTTCAACTCGAGGCAACAGGAATCCTGGAAGAAAAACTTTTGAAACATCTCTGGGATCCTCTGTTTGATAACAAAGAAACAGTTGAGAGCCTTGTTGCTCTGATGGAGAAATTCAGTTTGCTTTGTCCGTGGCTATCATCAAGTACTTCCCCTGGGAAACACTACCTAGTTCCATCCATGCTAATGTCCCATCCACCAGAAGACATCAACAAGCTCGTCGCTTCTGCGCAAATTCCCTCACTCTTTATTAAATTTGAATCTGGTCAAGTCCCACCAGGGTTGTTCCCTCGTTTAGTGTTGCAGTTCTTTCAATGGGGAAAAGATGGCTTATGGAGTCCAGTTAATCCACAGTTGTACCAAAATTTTGCCAGATTCTACAAAGCTGGAGAGGAAGACTGCTCTGTAATCCTACGTTGTCACTCTTCTTCTGTCGAGATCGTTTTTCACAGAGTGAAAGCAAATTTTGGGTTGACAGACAGTTTGCAGTCAATAATGAACTTGTCTACTGACTTGGGGCATGACAGGTATGATGTGGTTTGCACTCTTAATATGCATAGACAGGTGGTGTTCATTCTCGAATCAATGCGCAAGGAGTTCTGTTGGTTGACGAATATGAAGTATGATTCATGTGTTATGTGCTCAGTATGTTGTCGAGGAGGCACAACTAACTTCTGCCGTATTCACCGTGTCCAAAGTTGCACTCAAGAGGAGTGTCTGCATTTCTGGTCAGAATCGCAGCTACTTAGTGAAAAGCATATCGTTGTTTGCACACGGTCTGCTGTTGCCCTGAATAACAGAGTTCACGTCAACCAGTTAGCACCATGGTTTGCATACGTAGATGAACAGGTGAGCTTTACGTGTGAATCATGATTTACACTCTTGCACTCGGTAATTACGTTTGGCTTCTATGTAACATTCCGCCGAAACTCCTTCATTTGCGAAAAGGTTATTTTGGATCAATGTTAGTGTCTGCGCAATTGCGCACCTTCCCCCCCCCCCCCCCCCCCCCCCAACAACAGTCAACTGATAACAATGTAGGATTAATGTTCGGTTAGGGGAGGGGAGGGGAGGGGATGGTATGCAGTCCCTTAGACTCTGGAATTGATCCATTATTTTCGAAGGATAGATACATTATTTTCGTCCGAGTTGTTACTTCCTAAATTGTAGGGATAACACTATCCACTGTCAAGAAAGACGGCCATTATATTTAATGGTTCCCCTCCTGATTTTTTTGCGACAGGTTGTGACTGATGAACGTGACAGTGCACACGTGGATGGTAAGTTTCGCCTAACATCCCATTGTAGCGTGCAGTTTGGATCCGTTTTTCGTTTTTCTTTTGCCTCGGCACTTACTTATACGCAAGGAATTCCTGATTGGAGTGATTTACAACAACAATACAGTTCAAAAACATTTCTTCAAAACTGCTTTAAGATCGGTTTGTTTGGTAGCTGACTTTTAATTCTTATATTATTCTGGTGTGTTTTTTGTTGTTTTTTGGAAACAACATTTACAGCATGATGGTTAATTAACTGTACAGAAAGGCGATTAATTTCCATAGCGTTTCGTGGGAAATGTTGGTTGAAACCTTATGGACACTTGGGTTACAAATACAAAATCTAGACCTTCTCGCAGCAGTTGCTTCGAGCAATTTGATGTCGGTAAAATTTACGTTAGGGAGCCTACTTTTTTTTTTTTTTTTTTTTTTTTTTAATTTTGAGATATTTTGAGTATCCGTGATCGTAGTGTTTGATATAACTTCTAAGAATGAAAACCCTGTCAACACTTCTCTTATTTCACTCCACCAAATAGTATGTTGATTAAGAGTTTTTACTCGTAGAAAGTGGCGAGAAATTCGTGGCGCTTCCTGGAAAGGTTGTGGAATCACTTTTGTCACGATCATGTGACCCTAAGGAGATTATAAGGCAATTAAATGAGGAACTGCAGCTGAACCTTGATTCTCTGAAACACCTGGAGCCTGAGACTAGAAGAATGATTCGATGCCTGGCAAGGAAAGCTAAAAGTTCCAACAGGTTTGATGTGGTGAGACATTTGAGGAAAATTACGCCAGCTGGTACTACTGGTGAGTGTGAAAGTTGCAAAGTATGTTCTATTAAGTTGTATTAAAGTTCACAAGGCAACCAGGTGGACAATCAGACACGGTTTGATGCTACTCTGGGTCTATGAATTGTATCCTCTCGGTTACAATCATTAAATCTTTAAACCGGAGAAGCATCAAACCATGTCTGTTAAATTATTTGATACGGTGTGATTTCTTGAATGCCTTATTTATCCAGATACCAAGATTTCAGTAAACACCTTTTCTCTCGTGTTACAAAATGATGGTGACACTAAGAAGTATAAGAACTGAAATATGAATAGATGATCACAGTGTGTCGCTCACCAACTATTTTTCTGTAGACGATTCTGTAGTCTTTCTTCCGCCCATCTGACAATACAAATACAATAACGTCTCTCTTTCACACGCGAAAAAGCTGTACACTTTCTGAATTTAAAGCTGTTATATTTGTGTACATGACGATTTTTATCTCTATTGTTGCCTTTGTTTTGATTTTGTTTCACCATCCCTTTTCATCTTCTGTCAGGTCCTATACTGTCTGAACAGCTTGATGTACGGAATGTTCCAGTTACTCACATGAGAAATCTTACCATAGACTTGAGTGGTAAGGAACATGAATTTGCAATAGGCGTCATTTTCTCGTTTCCTCTTTTTTAGATTTTTATCTGATCAGAGGAAGACGAAATGAAGTTGAATTCATCAAGATGCAGTGTCTCCGTGATTCCACGAATCAATTATTCTCGTGAACAAGGAAATTTACGGATGCATTTGTAGTGATATTTTGTTATTTTTGTTGCTTTTGTCTGTTTTAGAGCAGTTTTCAACTGATTGACAAAAGTAATTTAATGCTTTGGTTTTGCTTCAAAACAGTTGCGCTACGCTACTCTCTCAACCAATCAGATGCAAAACTAAAACCAATCACTACTTGGTCGTCCGTGTTTTCCCGCGCTTTAGGTAGTGTGGTTGGCTTTACTTTGAGTTTTCATTGGCTCTTAAAAATATTTTCTTTTCTTCTTCTTCGTTTGGTTTTGGTTGTGCGAAACTCAATTGGAAAGTATCCTTATGTGAACTTACTTGACGCATTACAAATGGATAACATTTCTCTGCTCTATTTTGAAGTTTTGGTTAGTTTGAATTAATCCTCTTTTGCATAATTCATATCCGCGTGAAGCAGTTGTCTTTTTCAATTTTTACATTTTGGACAAGGGAAAAAATAATCATCTAACAACTTTAAAAAATATTCAAAAACAAACTGAAAGTTTCGTTTGCTCTTTCAGGCGGTGATGAGTGGAAGGTGGTCGCTGAGAAACTTGGGCTGACTCCCAGAGAGATTCGTTTCCTTGACAACCGAACGCTGAACCCATCTGATGCTGCCCTGGGTTTTATTGCTAACCAACGACACATAACCGTGGGTAGTCTTTACGACGTCTTGATCGAGTGTGGGTGCCCTGTGATTGCTGACGACTTGTAATGAGACAGACCCAAGAGAAACTTTCCAATTGTGACTCTTTGTGAGACTGACACGTTACATATTACTACTACTGAATGAAACAAAACGATTTTTCCCTAGAGCGCTTATATCCCTGAGGTTCAAGGCGCTTTACAAAGATATGTTGACTGTTATTTAAAATAAAAAAAACTAGAAAGGAAAAATGACATGGTGTCCTACTCAATCGCAAATACTCACTCGTTTCCGAAGAATCAGAAAACTGACTAGTTTTTACATATTTCTGCTCTATGAGCGAACATTTAGTTTTCAG